ATATATTATTAGTATGTTCAACAAAAATATATTTTTTAATTAATATGTAATAATATGCAACAAAAATTAATAGACATTTTATTTTTACTCGTGTTCAAGCTTTTACTTTGTCAAACATTTATTTCTTATTTTAGTATCTTTTGATATTATATTTGCAATATTCTTCCAACAAAAAGTAATAATTTCGTAAGTGTCATTTATATTGGCACTTTGATACCGTCCGTAATTTGCACGTAATAAAAGAGGCAGTCTGAGAGTTAACTTTGATAAGCAGCCATTATATAACGCGCTCAATACAAAGACATAATCGGAATGAATTTTATTTTTTAAACATAAAATAACTTTCTTAACATAAATTTAATGAAAGGTCCATTAGTTTTCAGAAATAAAGCTATTTCAGAAAAAGGTAATTTAATGTAATTTTTCAATTATTCTCGAATTACAAAAAAAAAAATTTTTTTTGCCGAAGGAACATCTAGAAAAAGTCGCCTAAAAATTTATTTTTTTTTTGTTTCCATCTCATTCCCTCTTCTTAAAATCTTATGCAAAATGTTCCCAAAACTAACCGTAATTTTAATACTATATAATCATTTTATGAATTTAAAATCAATGTTTCTTCCAAGAACAAGATTTTGCAAGAATTCTTCCTAAGTTATTAAAATCTGATATATAAATATCTCAAAAGATAGTTAAATTTCATAAATTAAATAATAAAACAAGACAACATTTCTTCATTTAAGTTTAAAAATGAGCTTAAAACGTTTATTCATATTTCGACAAATTAAAAAATTCTTCCACTTTTGTTTTCATAATTTGAAAATGATTAGAGTACTCAAACATTTTATTTAAAGGCAAATAAACTTCAGCCTGATCCGCAAGAAGACATTTTGATGATAATCAATGATTAAAATTACGGTTGGCGATTTCGGAACATCGTACGGAGATGTCACGACTCCGTGTCCGTGTTTGAGTTGACAAATGGTGCTGTCAATTTCGGTCGCGTATCTGAATCAGAGAGGGATTCCTCTCAAGAGACAGCGGAATCCTTCCGTATCAATGGACATTTCGTGGACGTCTAACGGATGACATGACAGCTGCGTATACGCGGTGCGTTATTCGTACGCATGGGACAAGGAAACGCACGCATCACACACATACTAGACACATACACACACACCTATATATACACGCAATACACACAACGTGCGCGTGCATAGACAACATACGATCGAACACGTAATAATCGAGCATGTAATACAATCGTGAGATACGTTCGATTAATGAGCTGAGCTCAGACACATATGCGAATAATTATACTGAATCAGACTGTTATGAATCTTAAGAGGGAAGGATTAATTAAGAGAGATCCAATCTAATTTGCTTAAAACAAAAATTATTTTGTTTTCGTAAAAACAAATACATAAGCTAAAAAATTGATTTAAACATTTTTGTCAAATTTATTTCAAGATTAAGATAATGTATTTCATTTTACGTTTAGAAAAATTCCCTAACGTCAAACTTTAATTTGAAAGATTAAAAATCAAGAATTTTAATTATATAAATTCAAAATATATATATATTATATATTAACAATTCTGGTTGTATAATTCTATTTAATGTAATCATTTATGTGGAATACATTTGTGCATTTTCGAGAAGATAATTAATTTAATTTATTTAAATCGAATTAGAGACCCAAGCGATAATGCGCAATTGAAATAATTAATCTCAAATAGAGCATTTCACAAATCGCAAATTAGTAAATAAAGACAAATTGCAGTTAATGAATTTTACGTAACTTTTATTGATCCAAAGCGCGATAATCGCTCGAGCGAAATTTCCAAGACAGAAGTTTACCCTGCATCTTTTATCCGGTACTTAGTCGCGAGATAAATTGTAGACTTTGTGTTATAGACTTATAGAAATAATTTTAATAATTCATTAAATTTGAAAATATAATACATACATATATATAATAAAATATTTAATGACGTAAATATTTATATGTACTAATTGATTTTGTTAATTAATAATTTCATATAAAATAAGCTGTTGGGAGATTTGTTTAACAAATATAAAAAAATACACACGGTGTACATGTGTTTGTATGCGTAATATTCAAGTAAGCAATAATATTTGAGTATAATGATAAATTATTTAAATGAAAATTTTAATGTGTCTATATTTTTCAATAATTATATACGTGCTAATTATTAATTAAACTATTTCCTAAACTATATCAATATTAATCAATTTTATATCATGATTAATGTTAATATTTCCAATTTTGTTCTTTTCTGCATCGCTTTCGTATCTCATTATACCAGTATATTTTCCAGTTATCGCAAATTGGATTAATAAATTTTAGGGAAAGAAATGTAAAATACCTTTTCCAGATAATAACGCTAATTTCTTATTCCATCGAGCAATTCTGCAAAGATCTTTCTTATGTCTTTTTCCAACGAATATATTGGTTTTAACATTTTAAACTCACGGTAATAGAATTGCCGTAGCAATTTAAATCGCCAAGAAGGAATTTTACGAATTTTACGAGTGAACTACTTGCATTATCGACTTACACATTTAACTGATAGCCCATTTCCTTGGATATTATCATAATAAGCAATCATGCTTCAAAATATATACAGTTTTATATTCTTGCATATCTTTAAAATATATAAATTCTAATAATCAGATTCGTCAGTTAAGCAAACTTGGAATAAAGTTATCATGTCGAAACATGCAAACTGCATTAACAGACAATAAAGACATTAACAAATAACAGTCTGATCGACTAATAATTCAATCGCGAAGCTTCCCGAGTAAGACTCGCGCGTTCTAACACGGCACATACAATGGAAACGTAACACTTTTACTATTGAATTAACAAAGTTGGGGATAGTATAATTAGCTCACGCGAGCAAATGGGATGAATGTAGCTAGAGAGCAGCAGATATATACGTATAAATATCTTTTGACTGCGTGAACTTTAAGATTATGGCCGCTCTTCGGCAAGAGCTATCGTTCTGTGTGAGTGTGTTATATGCAAAATATAATAATATAAATATATATATATATATATATATATATATATTATTATACACGTATACGATTTTGTATGTACACGCGCAAATGTGTGTTAATTAAGCGCACCAAATAGAGAAACGGAAGGGAAAAAGAAGGAACGCGGGCGACGACGGGAAGCGAAAAAGAAAAAAAAATATATGACGCATTTTAGGTAGAAATCACTCCACTGATCACTGTCACATGTCAATCGATATAATTTCAATACGTGTCATCCATGTATAATTTGCGATTCGCGTAGCAAATTGCTGTAGGTCGATGTGTTCATTATATGTTGAAATTATAGTTTTCTCCCGCGTCTGTATATAAAGGAAAAAATGGTGTTATGGAAAAATGAGTCGACCCATATATTGTGAGCAGTAGTTTTTTCGTAAATTAAATTTGAAATGCGGAGTTGTTTCATGTTGCTGATTATCATGCGCAAAAATGTACATAAATCCTTTTCTTTTTTTTTCATTCTTTTATTTCACGGATTAACTCATTTTTCCATATAATGCATATTCTGCTCGGAGATCCGTGAAATTATATCGGTTTCGAGCAAGGATAACCACGCGGATGATGAGCGTTATTGTGTAGAGATCAGTGAGATTTTGTTGTTGTAAACTCTCTATTCTACGAGAGAAATCGTCGTTTTATCTTATATTATTAGATGTGTTGACACGCCCCAGCGAAAGACTCTTTATTCTATAAAGACGATCGGGCGTTTAAAAAACAGAAAAAAAACCCTATTTATACTTGTCTCTCTCTCTCTATCTATCTATCTATTTAGTAATTTCTCTTTCTCTTTAACTGTGTACGTATACGATGGCGCGTATACGACACATGGCATGACGATATCTTTTCAAAATTTATTTTTCTTCTCGTTATATTGGCAGTAACAATAGTTCTATATATATACATATATATACAGAATGCCCTGAAGCATCTATCGTTTCTTTTATCTGTGAGTTCTTAGATAACTAACGCAATAACAATTTATTTTTCTTCGACAGGTATTTGGTTGAATGACATCGAATAGAGTTTCAATTTTTGTATGATTGTTTTTCTCAAATGATTCTGAATAATTATTGAACGGTTGAAACAATGTTAAAATAAATTTGAAATTAATGCAACTCAAAAGCTAAAAACAAGACATTATTGTGCAAAAATATTCTGAAAAAATGTATTTACTATTTATATTTATTATAAAGTATATATGTATATTTATGAATAATATTTGATTTATTATTTAAAAATTAAATATTTTTTAAAATTTGAATATAAAAAATTCGATGCATTTGCATTAAAAAAAAAAAAAAAAAATTACGTCATTAATTAATGTTCTCTAATAAAAAATTGAATAAATAATATTTTTCCAAATAATACCGATCTATTTATCAAAAGAAATTTGCATCCACGTATTTCACTCAATATTTTTCATTAAATATGACTACATATTTCCCAGCATGATAAAAATAATAAATGCAATTTTTATATAGAAATGAAACTTCAAATTTTCCTATTTACGTTAAAGATATGTGCGAATCGAATACGAATATCATGGCATTGGTGAAAGGGGATCATGTTTAGCCACGGGGCATTTCTGTATATTCTCTATCTTGAAACTGGAACAACCAATATCGTTTCGCGAAAAGGTCAAACATTGTTACATAACCGAGTAACAATCGTCCTTCGATTCCCGAGTCACGTAAAGGATATCAGTTGTTCCATCTTCAAAATATCGATATGTATATATATCAGCCTTTCGTTTCTCTCTCTCTCTCTTTTTTTTCTCTCTCTCTTTCACTTCTATCTTAGAAAATTTCCGTTCTCGTTTCTGTTTTTCCGTTTTCCGTTTCCGTTTCGTTAAGCCGTTCACGGCGCTCCCGGGCAACCAGTGGTGCCTTTGTAATATGTGCCTTTGTGTGTGTCGACAGCTCTGGAATCGACAATAATCCGACGGTCTTTTACCACTTAATGCCCGGTTCCACGGCTCAGACGAACAAGTTTCATACGTTTTACCTTCAGCAACGCCCCGATCAATCGGTGACTTGGGCCGACATTAAGGTTAACCATCCCCTGGACTATGAGAGCATAAAGGAATACAATCTCACCATACGAGTGGAGGTACGGCTCGTTTTTCGCATCTCTGTATATCATCTCAGAAAATCCTCGCGCAATTGAATATCTTTTATTAAAAAAAAAAAAAAAAACTCGAGATCCGATATTTATATCTGCATCAGCGAAAATGTTTAACGATATGTTTAATTCAATTTTTGTGGAATTGTTTTATCTACATAATTTTATTTGGATTGTGGAAATTATATATTATATATTATGTTTAAGTATGTCGGAGAACATACTTAAACGGAAAGACAGTTTTTCAAGAAAATGCAAATGACAAACATAAATCGCGATATCAAATGTATTAGTATTACTTCACGATTACTAAATCGCATTTTTTATGATTTTTAAAATCAGACTCTCAAATTTGTGTTATATTATTAGTATGTTCAACAAAAATATATTTTTTAAAAATGTAATATGCAATAATACGCAACAAAATTTAATAGACATTTTATTTTTACTCGCGTTCAAGCTTTTACTTTGTCAAATATTTATTTCTTATTTTAGTACCTTTTGATATTATATTTGCAATATTCTTCCAACAAAAAGTAATAATTTCGTATATCTTTTATGACAAAAAAAATATATATCTGATTTTGCGGCACCCGCTATCTCTGTTACAATTTGATTATTAATAAAAGTAACACGAAAAAAAGAATTAGCTATCATAGCTAAATTTTAGCTGTCCGTAATTACAACCTGAAATTCAGTTATCATGCCTAAATTTTAGCAATGGTAACTAATATTTCTTAGCCATAATTTGACGAAGAATGTCACAGCTAAAAATATTAATTGTCATAGCTAAAATTTAGACATGATAACTAAATTTTATGTGTAACAGCTTATATGGATAGCTAAAATTTAGCTATGGTAGCTAATTTTTTTCCGTGAATGTATTATAGCAAAATAATATTTGACTGCAATTTTACTTTCAATGAAAACAAAGAGTGTCGTCGAGAAGTACGATTTTGTAATCGCGAATCAATTTTATTCCTTCAGAATAATGGAGCCCAACAGCTAGCTTCCGAGGCGACCGTGTTCATCCAGCTAGAGGATGTTAACGATGAGATACCGCTGTTCACCGAACGAGAACAGGAAACCGTACTCGAAGGTGAACCGGTGGGCAGCAAAGTCACCCAGGTGAACGCGATCGACAAGGACGGGACATTCCCCAATAATCAGGTAAATCGATAGCAAGCGTTATTGCACATAGTGAAACAGATCGACGTATACTCAGGCGACACATATAGCGATAGCAATCAATTAATTACGATACTGACCAATTATTTAACAAGACAACGAGCGAACACGCGATACGGACTCTGCCCTATTGATTTTACGTCCTTCCTTTTGATGTCTCCGCAACCGTGATAATATACAGCGAAAAAATAATATTTTTCGGATATACATGGGTCACCTAATGTTGATTAAATATTTGAAGTACACTTCGGAGTAATATATAGGTCTCGAATCATATAAAGTGAATTTATATGAAGCGAATCATACATATATAAATTTCAGCATAAAAATCATCGTGATATATATATATATATATATATATATATACCTATCAATCTTTGTTGATTTTTAAAATGAGAAAGAATATTAAATATTTTGATATGCTCTTGATAAAATTAATTCTCAACATTGGGGTGTTTTTGATTTTTAAAATGCAATTAGAAACTTGTTGATTCTAAAGGCAATTATTTCTAGGCATAATTTTAAAATGTAAGGAAAAATATAAATTGCGTATGAAATATTTCGATATTCTTTTGATAAACTTATCAGTGTGCTATTTTCAATTTTTTTAATATCGATGTTTTGATGCACAATTCGAACGCAATTAAATTTATCAAAGAAGGAGCAAGATATTTCATAGATTTACCCACGTTTATCGTGCGTTTGTAAAATAATATTATTGAGAAAATTAGCTCTCGATCATAATGAAAGATAGCTAGAAAAGGCGCATCGACATAGGTCTTTCCATTTCTTTATCGCGCAGATCCGATTTCGAGCGGATCAATTGCAGAGGGATTGCATTGAGAGTGCACAAAAGAACAAAAGAACACACTCGTATCGCGCTAGACCCGGGGCACTTGAGCGGGACTTAAGGGAGCTCAGTCGTCGAAGTCCTGATTGAGGACGAGAGGCGGAAGAACGGCCGGGAATTGGGGAATACGGGGGTGCTTTAGACTTGTAACTTAGATCGTCGCGTCGAAACTTTAATGATTTCATGCACAGCAAAACCGGTAGGTATTCTCGCTGTGCCGTTATAAACTCCGTAACGGAGTAACGCAATTCCGACGATCGTGTTTGAGTGGCGTTGAATTTATCACGTACGAGAGCATTATTATGGATACACGCGTTAACGACGGGTATATATTACCATGTCGATGTTTAATCGCGCACGATTATCTCATTCGTTTTGCGTCTGATACCTGGCTGCTACGAAACGTATTTTGCGATGTGTAGGTGGAGCTTTGCGATTATGGATAAACGTGATATTACGCACTGAATATTGAGATGTTAGTTGCTGGAGGCTTTCGAGGGAGAAAGGAGGAACAAGATATCAAACGCAGATATAGGATGGTTTGAGCCTCAGCTTAAATTGGATTAATTTCCTTTTTGTTGGAAAATTCAATACTCGGACTTGTATCGTTATTTTTATGATAATCTTTTCAAAATTCTGATTTAAAATTCGAACGCGTAGAAAGGACTTTATTCTGTAGAATCAGGAGAAAATTTTCATTACTGATTAATTACGCAAAAATATATTTTTTATTCAGGAATATGTATAATTCAAGGTTTAATTTTTCTAAAATTCTTTTTCACTTTACCGTGTGAATCTTTTGTTTCCGTATTTTTAGAAAATGACATAAATACTGCATCCAAAGCGTTATACACATGCACATTATATTTCACAAAATATTTATATACACTAGAACTTGGAAGAAATCTGTAGGGTGAGAAAAATCTCGTATGCACTTTACTGCTGCTGAGTGAATTTTTTTTTCATCCTTTGTACATTAAACAAAAAGTAAGAGCATTCTTAAACGAGTAGCTTCGTGAAAATGGGGCGCACGTAGCTGTAGAAAGGAAAAAAGGCTCTCCCTCCGCGGCATAAACGAAAGCATAACATAGCGGAATTTCCGCTGGAAATTTGCCGATTAGGTAACTCGTGAGATACGCGGACACGCGACTGTAAATCTCGCAGAAAAGCGCGCGCGAAAGTGTCTCGCGCACGCGAGATCTGTCAAATATATGCGCATTCCATTTGCACGTGTTACGGGCGCTAGGTACGACAGAAATTCACGAGACAAAAGGGACACGACGAAAGTGGACGAACGTGTAGCCGAGCGTTGTAATCGCGTTACTGCAAACTCGATATCGCCTTTTCTTCGCTCGTCTATTCTTTCTTGCATGCGCGCCATTACTGACAATTGCGGGGCAAAAAAATATTTTTGCGATAATATATAGAGACAAAAATATTACAGAAATTAATTATGAATAGCAGAGATAACAATAGAATACATAGAAATAATAGAAAATATAATCTTTATAATTTTCACTTTTCGCTGTAATAGATTTATTAACAAAAGTTAATACATTTATTAATTTTTATTAATAAATCTATTACAGGAAACATGAAAAAAGTTGAATTAATATGACAACAGATATAATATGTACCTAATGTGTAGGATTCCAATAAAAATGTACCCTCCCCCAAATGATGAATATTTGATTTTTGCTGAAAAAAAACTAGGTAACAAGAATTTATGCTAATGACTTAATTGAGTTTGTTTCCTTCAGCCTTCTTAATTGAAGGTTCAAAAAGAAGTATAAAGCAGCTCGAAAGAGAGAGAGAGAGAGAGATAACTAATCTATTATTATACGTCTTTTTCTTTGAAATGCAGTAATATCATTTACCGTTTCATTAAAACGAAATTGAAACGCGCAAAGTGCGTGGACAATTCTAAAACTAGTCGAAGAAAAATCTTCTCTCGCAAAATATTCATTCAAATTTTCTTGTACTTCACGATAACCACTTTATGAAAGTTCCTCACTCTCGGAATCATCATCCGATCCGGACCGTGGCATTTTTATGCGTTTCACGTGCTTTATACATGCATGCACTTTAATATGAAACAGGAAGTTTTCGCGAATAAAGGTAAAGTAAGTCGGATTGTAAAAGAGCTCATGACATGCTCAGTATGTAGTGCGCGAGAGAAACCATATCCCTGAATGATATAAAACCGCGGATATATCTTGAAAACATTAACTATTCTTTTACAATAATATTTTTTATAGTTATATTTTATATATGTATTATATATTAAAAATTACTATAATTATTACAATCACGAGGAAAACATTAATAGTATAAAAATTAAAATATTGTTGCAAATATAATATAATATTATATTATATGTAATTGTATATATTATATTTGCAACAATATTTTATTTTTTATATTATATTGTTTTTCTCGTAATTTTAATAATTCTAATAATTTTTAATATAATATACATATATAAAATATAATTATTTTTATAATTTATCGTAAATGAATCGTTAATGCTTTTTTAAGACATATATCTCATTGTATATAATTATAGAACATTACGAAATATATATAATATTTTATACTACAATTTCATAAATCTTTGTGTTTCATACGAAAATTTCAAGTAAACAAAAAAATCTCGTTAATTTACGCGGCTGTGCTAGACTTAACCGAGATTTATTCGGTTAGGTTAATGCAAACAAATATAATTTTTGTGCTCGCCGAGTGGGATTCCGGATAATCCTTCGTTAGCTATTTTTGTACGTGGACCATAGGTGAAGTCGATAAACTTTACACGCGTTGTTTATCTAGGTTACATATTACGTGGTGGAGAGCGACAGGAACGAGGGCAAGGATTACTTCGAGATCAACAGGGAGACCGGCGAGATCTTCACAAAAGTAATGTTCGATCGTGAAAAGCAGGGCGCTTACGCCCTCGAGGTGGAGGCCAGAGATGGAGCTCCTTCAGCGAGACCCAACAGCAATGGTCATCCAAATTCAGGTAGGTGATATAGAAAATTTTATTTCAAAGCTGTCCGCCGCACCATAAAATGTGCATTGATCTGTCTGTGTATGCAGGGATATGCATATACGCAGGCATATAATAATCGTTGATATACATATATAATACGGTTAATGAATGAATTATCAATAAAAAAATCAAATATAAAAAAATCAAAAATGTCTTCGCAAAATAACTGGTTAATTATGACTTTAAAATATAACTGATCAATATACTCGTCAATTTTTTTCTGTTAAACTTTAGACAAGTGATAGAATAAAAGATTAATCAGAGAGACTGTGAAAAGTTTCTGGAGTGATTTGCGAACATTGATTTAAATCTCTATGCAATTACCACCTTATTAAAAAATCGACGATAAATGGACGGTCAGCTTAGTTTAATGCAGAATAATATAAAATTTTGAATAACAAAAATTTTTATCAACATAAGAGATGGAAGATGTTTCCTTCCCTCTTCATCAAAATTTGAATTTCTCATATATTCGAGATATTAAAAGCAAAGCGATCTAGTATAAAATATCCGACGTGCTGAACGCGGGGTCAACCTTGTTAGAAAATAAACAATTTCTCACTCACCGATACCTGCAATAGAGTTGTAATACACAGCCACATGGATCTAAAAACAAAATATTCAAATTATGCACATATAATATAGGGAAATGCCTATTAATGTACAAGTAATTATTATTTCGAAGTAATAATGCGCAATATTTTTTATATAAATTATATTTATTTTGCATACCTCACAGCTGCCCCGATGTCGCCCGATGCCTTCCCAGGCCTCCTCCTCCTCTCGTGGTCCTTAGCACTCACGACACTCGCAAAATTACGATCGCCCGACACTTTACACGGCACTCCCGACGCGCGAAACTTTACACGGCACTCCCGACATGTAAAATTTTACACGGCACTCCCGACGCGCGATACTTTACACGGCACTCCCGACGCGACGCGTGAATCACACTACCTGTAATAACAAACCAAATACATCTTATTATTTTTACATTATAACAGACATGACATATGTAAGTAATTATTAATAAGAAAAATGCTGTAAAATAAAGTGAGACGCTGCGTGAAGTTTATTCCAAGGCATTTTTGTTGCTTTAATGGCTAGAACTATTTGTTTAAACTATCAAGAACTCTGGAACTCTATTGAAAATAAAGCCAGAACTTTTAATTATTTATGAATTTTTACGAAATCAAACGCCAGCTTCACACACGCATCATCTCTTCGAATGCGCCAACGTTATTTTATACTTGCTTTGCGCGAATGGCATCTATCATTTATTTCTTGAAAGCATCTCTAGTTTCCTTAACGCGAAGTTCTCGCTTCATTAGCGAGACAGCCATTAACTCTGTTACAAAACTTATAATAGGCTTATCATCGATTGGTCACCGGCAGAATCAAAATGAAGAAGAGGGTTAACATTTTCTTTTCGCTTTTCAAACTTTCATTTCTCATCGTTTCTCATTTTCCTCAGATAATTACAAATCTTTCGTTATTTTTATTTTTGTCCTCTTTCTGTCTTTTCTCTTCTATTTGATTACGTCAGTATATAATCACATTTACGAAAGCGTGTTTACAAAATAATTGACATTTATCAATGAAAAATTAAAAATAGATTAAATATCTGATGACAGCAAATAATGTAATAAAATGTAGATCTGTATATAATTCTATAAGTTATTTTAAAACAATATCCAGTCCATTTTTCATTGACAAATTGCATTTCATGCATATCTCTTTCAATGCGAAAAATCTAGTTAATAGATAAATTTTTATTTTAACATCATATAAAAAAAGCTTGACATTTTTATTTCTATTACTTTTTATTCTTTTTTAGTTTTAAATTTGTATATGGATATATCGTTTTTACAATGCAGAGTAACTCAAATTAAATAAATTAGTATCATATTTTTTCAATCTAATAATTTTCGTCATTTCTAGAGTCACGTGCGTTTCCTAAATGAAAATGATTCTCCTATATAATTAATGACTTTTTTCACTTTTTAACAAAATCGTTATTTTTATTCAATTTTCTCACAAGATGCGCGCTTCGATAATGTAACGTCCTTTAAAAATAAATTATAATTTTATAGATTCTATGATTGCAATTTGGACATAGTATTTCGCCAATAGTTCAACGGAATAGTCAAAAAGCGGCACACATCCCTACAGTCAATATGCAGATCCTAACTTTTATTGAACGTGATAACGTTCATGCGGGTTCTCCCCATAAAATTGAGCGCAACGCGATATAAAATAAAGTGTGCACGATAATACCCGGCTTTATACTGTACTCATCAATTTCTATATTTTATGCTGGAATTTCTCGGGAGAACGTAATACACGGCACATCTAATTACATGTCATGTTGCCGGCTCTTATAACGAAGGTTAACGTGGAAGCTTTGAGCTGAGATAATTTATCTACGAAGCCGTCGTATGTTTAAAATGAAGAATTTGTGAAACACGCGTACAATAAACATGGTTTTTGATAATAACTTATCCTATATAGAGAACAGATAGGCCCTTTTTAAATTGTCCATCAATCTCTTTGAAAAAAATATTTGATGTTATAAAATGTTTGCAAAGGTAAAAAATTGAAATACAATTTTATCATATGATTTTTAATTCAGATGCAGAATAGCTTGTAATATTAAAACTCAACATTAAGAAAAATATTTAAAAAATAGTTGTCTTCAAAATTTCTGAATTTTATCTATAATAATATTAAATAAAAAGTCTAATTCTTTATCGGCAAAATGAGAAAAAAATCAAATAGTGATTTCAATCAGATATTTAATTTTATTCACATTTATAGTTAGGACATTTGCAAACAGATTTGCCTGCGCATCAGCTTGAATCTAAAATTATATTTAATAAAATTTCTTTTTATCTGCATACTTTAAATAAATTTTTTTCATTTTATATCGCACGCGTTGCCAGATTTTATAATGTTTGATTTCGATCGGATATCTCGATATGATATCGATATTTTTCCAATTGATATTATCGTGTTATGCGATCGGCAAAATTGACGACAATTGATTTGACCGAGTTGATAACGACAAACAGAATGTTAAAAAAGGACAGGCTTGCAAAAGTTTCTGCGACAATACGCGCTACTGATACAAACGTGAAATCCGGACTAGGGATTCCTGTAATCTAGAATGGATGTGTAAAATGGTGTAGGTGCTTTGACGCCTCTCTTTGTTTTACTCGTGATATGTTGTGTGCGCGACTACAATAGAGGATTGACTATCGACTTGCAGTTTGCGCAGCTTCTATGTAAAGGTCTCGTCCCACAGTTTGCGTATTTTATGGCAGCGAATCGTAGATGTTTAAATACAGTTTGTTTTTCGCAATCAAAATCGGAGAACTATTTAATTGTAAGCCTTTTTTTTCAATCGCCGATATTTTGATACATATATTTGCATTTGATTAACGTTCAAAAGAATATTTATCAAATAGAGAGAAATTGTAAGAATATTTTTAAATAGAAAAAAATGTAAATTTTATGCAAAAATATTATTAAAAATCAATATAAAACAGGATAAATAATGAAACTTTCGAAAAGAAATTACCATAAGCAAAAAATTTTGTTGGCATTAATTTTCTTAGGAATCTATTATTTTCTTACGCTTATATCAGAAATGACGCTTTGATCCTGTTGGAAGCTCAGAATTTAATCAATTTTATGAACTTTACTAAAATAAGAGTCTGCCGTTTATATTAAAATATCGATCTCAATATTCTGAATCAGGTTGGTAACCATAAAATTTTACATTAAATTGATGATTTATAGTGTCAGTTTAATAAAAATAAAATACAAACGGAGATCTTGTTAATATTTTTGCGATTCAATTCTTACATTGACAAGAATGAATTTTTCATAAATTCGAGAGAGAGAAAATATTTTTGAGCTGATTTATCCTTCCATTTTAGTAAAAATAGTACACGTTCTTACAAATATTTCTCATTTTTGCAATAATAAATTATAAAAATGGAGATTGCTACATACTGATATAATTTAATTCACTGTTCAACTGTTCCTTTCTATTGAAAAATTGCAATAAATGTTTTAAAAAGATATGATCAATAATATTCACTTTTCTCTTAAACAATGAGTTTATGAAATCGAGTAACTTTGGCAAAATAATAAATGTCAACGCGAAGTAAATCTGGATCATTATATGAAATATAAACATTATTCCAGAAATTATGAGAAATGAACGCATCCGGTATAATTGTGCATTATCTATGGTATTATATTCATTCATGTGCGATGGCATATATAATTCCTAATTTGAGTAGATGGAAAATTTGCATATTCAAAAACGCGTCGACATAATGAATTGCATTAGTCTCCAATTAAACTCCTCCCATTATTAATATCAGTAACTGCGAGCTTGTCATATGAGTATTATTGAATTTCAGTGCTAACTTGTTGACGGCTTCAGAATACGATGCGTTACCTTAACTACAGCTAGTCTCGTTATTACTTTAATAATAACCAGAATTAACCAAGTAATCTCACTTAAATATTTTGTACAAAGTATATTATAATGAAGATATCAAATTTCTAAACACAGAACTTGAGAATTTCAAAATAATTTAATTCTGTCTCAAATTTATTCTATTCTCTTTTATAACATAGTCGCCAATAAAAAATGTATTTAATTTAATTATTTAAAATTAAATATATTCAACCTTATAAAATTTACTTAAAAATTTTTAAATATAATATATATATATATATATATTTACTTATTACTAATTTATTAATAATATTGTGCAATTAAGCTCTAAAATATAGAAAAGTAGACAATAAAAATTCGCGAATTTTAATATTAATAATGATTCAATTAAAATCTTCATTCTACAAGTGAGAAAACATATCAGTTCACATTTCAGTTTATAAAGTAAACGTGCAATATAAACGCGTTGCTGTATAATTTTGGATGGAAACTACTTTGCTGGATGAAATTCCGCGATTAACTATGTTTCGTGGTTGCTGCAAAATTTCCTCGATAGTTGTGTCAACATGAAGCGTTCTCATCATTATCTTTGCCATTTTGATATTCCAATTTTCGCGAAAAAATTGTATAGCTACAGCGTGCTATTTTTTTTATTTATACGTAGAATACGATATGGTATTAAAAATATTCATGTACTTGCATGTTAGTCCGCGTATTTTTATTTATATCTAAATGTTAAAGATGCATGTTTTGAGATATTATATTAAAAATATATTTATAAGAATATATAGAAAAGAATTTGTTTTTACGCAAGTTTCCCATTTTCCGTTTTTCTTCTCAAGAAATATTTTACTTTGCATTAATATTAACGATATCGATAATTAAAGAGTTTTCCGAGTTCACCGCAAAGGTATAATTTCGTAACAAATCTCGCTTTTATTTTGCAACTAATTTGCTGCAGATTTTCCTTCGTAAAAGATTAGAGATTTTATTTTATCAAAGTATTATATATATATATATATATATATATATATATATATATATATATATAATTCACAAGTTCTTGACAGACAGTTGCAATTAAGTGCTCGCGTTCAATCAACTTCTGATTCTGATTCGTATTCGTGTGCTTTTGGAAACGAATGAATTGTTTCACAGTCGGCGAGGAAAATGCATCGTTATTTTCTAAACGATCGATGTGCACTTACAATTAATAATAAGCGAACTAAGCGCATAACTCCCGGATCTCTGAAAGGTCTTTGCATCGTAAGCACAGTCAGACGTTAATATAGCAACCGCTGTACGTACCGCGATGTATATCACAATGGCAATTAATAACGGTAATTGGACGAGCATCATTAAGTCGCTGCATCGCGCTCCGTACTATGCACGGTAAAGTGTATTCGACAGTAGAGGAAGAGATAGTAAAGGAGAGAGAGAGGGTTGCCGCACATTTCGCGCTTACGATATCGCTTCGCATACATGTATACTTTCTGAAGTGCATCTTGCAATAAACGCAGGCAGCCTTTTCCTCTGGAAAATTCGCAATCGGTGTCGGCCCTTTTGCTGATCCAACTTAATAACGCTTGATTTTTCCGATAATTTTTTCTACAATGTTTCTCTCTCTTTTTCTGCTTCTCTTCTCTTGCGAATATGTTCCTATATGATATTCGATTGAATGACATATACACACATACACGAAGAAAATTTTCTCTTAGAATTTACCCTGAAAATCATGGTAATCGTGCGACAATATGGAGGAATTTTATAAAAGTTTCTTTAATGTTTATCACAATAAAAAATATCAATATGTACAGTAAAATTAATCGAACATATTTTATATCTTATTGTGGTAAATATTAATATTTTTTATTGTGATGAATATTAATCAAAGAAACTCTTAGAAAATTCTTCCAATATTATATTGTCCGATATTGTCCCACAATTACCATGATTTTCAGGTAAATTCTAAGAGAAAATTCTCTCTGTGTACGAATTTTCTGAGTTATTCGATAAAGAGAACAACAGTAATTCGTCCTTTCAACACGAGACAATAAAAAGAGCAAAAAGATGTGAATAAAAATATCTCTTATTGATAAAAATCAGCAATGGATTTACAACGAGCGCGGAGAGATCGTGTTTTTACTACAATACATTTCAAAATATGTTATTTATTTTGATATCTTTGGATTTTCTACGAGCTTTGGATTTTCTACGCGGCTTATTTAATTAACTAAATTTTTTTCGGGATATAGTACTCATTTTCCGTTAAATCATATATCGGAAAATGTCGCGGGATTATATTTGTGACCGCAGTGACATTAGTAAACCGAATCTCCAAGTATTTATCTTTCTTTTCTCTTGTATAATTCCATCATGTTATAGAAAATATACTATATAATCTTTCTAACCGTTTTAATACTGAAAATTGTTATCATGCGAATTGTAATTTTCTGCTAAATTAGAGATAATGCGCGTAATAATACGTAATCATACATAGAATACGTAAATATGAAGTCAACAAATATCCGATTTATATTAATATTATTACATAAATTTGGAGAAATTATATATTTAATTATATTTGTAATAACTTCAATTATGTATGCTTAACATCGATAAGCCGGTTTCGCGCACTTATTTTAATATTAATGTTTGTTATTTTTGATAACAATTTTACAGACAAAAAGGTTCATTAAAAATAAAAAATCTAGCTTATATAAAAAAAATATTTAGCAAAAATTTGTAGTTTTAAAAAGGGGAAGACCATATATAGAAAAGTCGTTACAGTATGTAATGACAAAATAAAAATTGAAAAATGTTTGTTTTTTCAAACATATGAAAAATTCTAAAATATTTTAAATATTCTTTTTCTCTTCCGAAATATGCCAGAATTATTTTACTCTATTTATGAGTTTTGTTTATTCATATAGTCCACATTAGTCTCCTACTGAATTACTATTCTCTTAATATTATCAAACGTTCAAATTATAAATCAACATCGAATATCAGAGACCGACAATTCAATTCAAAGGTTAATTTGCGACAACGCGATTGACGACGATATAAAGCGCGCGCGCTAAAGCGCAATTGCAATCATCAAATAAACAGAACAGTTAACCATGCAAATATAATAACTGAATTTATTTACTCACGAGTTAATTCGTTCTCACCGCCAATTTCTCGTCAGGTCGCTCCGTTGATCATTGAACATTCGCATGGATATCAAACAATCTGAAAAAAATATAATTAATTACAATCACTAATTAACGATTTTTACCCTCGCATTTTACATATTATTCTTGCTCGCGCACAGATTTTGCGATATATTTTGTGACATATAATTGAAAAACTACACTGAAACAAAATTTATTAACTTAACTAAACCTTTCAACTAAATTACTATTTTGTTTATTGAACATATATTAGTATTTAAGTCTACGTTTTGTTAGATTTAATGTTACATTTCATTTAGATATTTTTATATGTTCAATTAACAAAATAATATTTAGTTGAAAGGTTTGGTCAAGTTAACAAATTTTTTTTCAGTGTATGTAACACGATCGGAATTCACACAAGGCTAATAATAGTGTTAATTATATTATCATACTTTAATTAATTACAAGATCCACTTGACGATTCCTAATTGTGCACTGTTTCGGTTGAGAGAATAATATGTTCTCGCCGTCAATTTCTCGTCAGGTCGTTCCGTTGCTCATTGAATATTCTCATTGATACCAGGCAATCTGAAAAATATACTACTAATTACTATCACTAATTAACAATTTTTGTTCTCGCATTTCACACATTATTCCTGTTTGCGCATACATTTTGCGATATATTTAGTGACATAAAATTGAAAAACTATATAACACGATTAGAATTTATATACTATAAGGCTAATAATAGTTAATTATATTATTATGTACTTTAAATATTTACAAGATTTATTCAGCGATTTTGCTGATTGATTGTGCGTAATCTATTTCGGTTGAGCAAATAATAAATACAAGACAATGAGTTTCAATTGATAGATCACACACACACATACGTGCAGATTACCAAACATCGAGGAATACTGTTAATTACTAATTAATACTTACGTCCGTCGTTACACTTTCGGCATTCTCGATTAACTCCCGACATTCACTGCGCTCGTGATACATTTTGCGCCAAAATTGATCACGTGATGCGTGACGTACTCGAAAAACTTGTAGGGACGCAACGAGCACTTCACGTCGTTGCACGTCGTGACGTCACGGGACGATCACAAATCTGAAAAATTATATCATAAAAATAATTAATTATTACCTCAATTAATTAGGAGTCATCTCAATGATCCTCGAAATCGTATTACTTTACCTTGATCGAGCAAGAAGCGAGAAACGAGGCATTAAAATGCATCGAAAATTCCAAGGCTCCGACTGACGAGACGACGCCTCGAAAAATGTCAAATAATATTATTATTCGCCAATTCCGCGCTTCTCCATGATCGCTCGTCGTTCAGTTCGACTCCTTCGACACTTGTCACATACGAGACGCACTGTGCAACGTGTAATTAAACAATTGTGTAACGCGAAACGAGGAGCCCTCGTGAAACGTGCCCGTGCCGATTCCGTTCGCGAAACTGTCTGAAGATGCAGAGGACCAAAGGGACGCCAAGACAACTTCACGGCTCGCGAGATTCGAGCGGGAATTCGATCACATTTTCATGAACTGAACAATATATATTAGATGAGTGCCATTCAAAATTTTAGCAAGTAAATAATAAAGAATGATGTATCTGAGAAAGTAAGGGAAGTCGAAATAATATGTTCGAGACGACAATGACAAATGTCAAGCGATGCTATTAATTGCTGAACGACATTATTTGGCATTTTTGGAAGCGTCGTCTCGATCAATCTTGATATTAATTTATGAGATTTATTCGCGACTGAAATAATTAACTTACCTCTTTTCTTTTGCTATGACAACCGCGACACGACACATGACACATCGACGACAGCTTGCATGTAAACATACGGCATTCATCAAAATAATGACAGAGACGCCGGCGTCTCGCTGTCATAAAAATAAAATCTATTATTCTCGTATATATTCGTATATGTATAAAAATTAAAATATTGTCGCTGATATACTTTAACGTAATTAATACTTGTATTAATTATTATCGAAAACATTAGATGAGACGCTCAATTGATGTTGGTAGTCCTGCAACTTTATACCTGCAGTCTATATACTTCATGTACAGTCTATGGCGATAAAGTTTATTGTATATAGCGACTATATGAGTGATTATTTATGACCAATCAGATTTTTCGTTTTTAATTACGTATAGAAATTAAAGATTAAAGTTTAATTATTGAATAGAAAAAATATTAGCTTCTTTCTTTTATTAATCGAAGTCGAAAATTTTTATCCTTTATTTTCAATTATCGCGTGCGATACGGGCTTTAAGGAAAAGCGACCAAATGCTCTGATTGGCTGTCGCGTATGTATGACGTATGTATAAACTATTAATTCAATGTTCGCCTTTATGTGCATTGTTTTCACTCTACGAGAAAAAAATTTTATATATAATTATATATAAATAATTGTATAATTATACATATAATCGTAAAATTAAATGTGACATATGTCTATTTTTATACATAATTATATAAATTTCCCCAACAACACACATATCCCGAAGACGTTCAGAGAGCATCCTGACCCAGCAAACACCGATATATAATTGTTACATTGCTATAATAAAACGGAATATAATAGGTAATATAACGTGAACGTTACATGTAACATCCATGTTAGTTGTAATTTCCCACTCATAGATGTAACATTTTAATATAACATATATTACATTGTAGTTATATTGTAATTATATACCAAATAGCACATTGATGTATTGATAAGTCAGTGCTATCTTGGGATATAATGACAATATAACTACAATGTAATATATGTAATATTAAAAATGTTACATCTATGAGTGGGAAATTACAACTAACATATACGTTACATGTAACATGCTTAAGTATATAACATTTATATATTGTGTTTGCTGGGAGGATGTTCCTCTGAATATATTTTGGATATGTTGTGCTATTAGGGTTATATATATAAATTATGAAAATTCATATATAATTATGTTAAATTATATATGAAACGTATATTTATATATAAAGAAATATTTATTATATACATATATATCGGATGTTAAAATTTGCTTACGTTTAGTGCCATTCGATAAAGAATGGAAATCTAAGAATAAATGTCTAATATAATTTTTCAATACAATTAATAGTTTAACCACAATTAATTATTCCAATCAATCAATTTTTAGACATAATGTAAAAAATCTTATGAATTATTCAAATCTCGGTAACATTACCTTAATACATTTATATGCACAGAATTGACAATTGAATATTTTACAAGATATTTTACATTTTATGTCTAAAAATTAACTGATTACAATAATTAATTACGGCGAAAGTATTTATTGTATTGAAAAATAGTATTAGACATTTTTTCTTAGATTGCCATTCTGTATCGAATGGCATATGCGACACTTTTTTAATACCCTGTATATACATTTATATAATTGTATATAAAATCACTTTTATCTAATTATGTATGAAAATATTTTAAATATAATTTTGCGATTATATATATAATTTTATATATTTCTATATAATTTTATATTGTTATATAGAACATTTTTTCCCTGGTCGCGTTTCATATTTACTTGAGATTTTCTTGTATGTCGGGTTTGTAGTCGCGACGAAAGAATTTCAGTCGCGAATGACTGTCAAAGTGTAGGGAGAGCCTAAATTAAGATACACATTAAGTAATTAACAAGTAATTAAGTGACATTCTTGGATACAATGATCAATTTTTATTATTTCCTCATTTTTTTTATGTCACGGTTGATATCGCGAATAGAGAGAGAGGGCAAACTACGTCGACCAATCAGGTAATCTCTCGGCTCCCTCGATCGATCAATCAAATTGCTGTTTTTCGCAATACATAAATAATTTTCGCGGTTGGCATCACTTCGGTGACGTCATCGTGAAGAAGCACAAAATTGCGCCTTTTTTCCATTCCGAAGATGGCGGTCGCGAGTGAGTCGTGCTCCCGCGTCTTGTCTGGATTTTGTGCGCGAATAATACGAATAATCGGGAGTGCAAGTCCGGGAGTGTCGTGTTTCGACGCGATGGGCCGAGTAAATTCTCGAAGAGCATCCGGGCGTCGACGGGTGTCTGGGAGTCTCGCGAATTCACGGAATTAGCAAGCTGCGTGGCGGAGGGTTGTAGGAAGGAGGGAAGGTACTATTGAGATATCGTTTTTGACTACATTTCGATTATATCTTGACGTACACGGAGCTTCGGGAGTACTCCAGCGTCTCCAGGAGTGCCCGAGTATCGGTAAAAGTGTTCGAAAAGCGCGAGTTCTTCGAAATCGGCGGGTCAAATTGTGGAGAAGTTGGCGCCTGTTGCTTGAGAGATTGGTACCGAGACTATCCGCGTAACGGCGCGCAAGAGCGTCTCTCCGCCATGACACTTTCCGCTCACTTCACGAAGTCACGTAATGACGCGGCGCGCCGGGAGATGTCGCGACTTAACCTAATTGTAAGGGCATTAATATTCGGACGCTCGCTTTCCCGGAATAGTCGCGAGTAATCTTCCGTTTTTTTTCGTATTCGTTCATTTCGAAGTGCATCGGTGTGTAGTGAAGTGCGATAAGTTATTGCAAATATAAAATAGAAAAAAACAGTGCAATGATTAGTGTAAGTGTCAAACCATATGGGATTAGCAGAGCAGCAGTGGATTAAGGCGGATATATTAAAGCAGAGAGGTTAGATAAATTGACTCAACGCAATGTGAGTTTATTTTTTTGTTTGTTACATTAGGAAAAATAATACTAACGTAAGGAAAAATAAAACTAATATTATGAAAAATAAAACATTAGGATAACTAACTTTAGGATTTTTAAAATTCTTTTTTATACGCAAGAACAATATTTTTTTTGCTGTCAGTTTTCGATAGGTGTTTTATATTCAATATCTTTTAATTGAGAATTATTAACCATATAATTAATTCTTATGGTTATTAAAAAATATTCAATATAAAACATAGTTTATATTTATGGTTTATCTTCTCAATATATTATGGTTCATATTCTTCAGAGTTTCGCATTTTTGTGTTGGGTGGGATTATAATTCGCCGTTAAATTAAAATATAATAATTAAAAATATTAATTACTTCATTTATGATAAATAACAGAAATTTGCTTGACAATTTGTTTCCAAACCTTTGTTAAAGATTATTAAATATGATTTATAATTTTATGCTTTATATATGCTTTATATTTATACACATTATCATAAGACATACTTATATTAATAAATTATATTAATATAATATATAATAGAAAAGAATATAAATCTGTATTTCTCAATAGCGTTTTTTTTAAATAGAAACATATAAATATATGATTTTGAACATTTTTTCTTTATAAAAATTTAACGTTTAAATTAAATAGTTTTCTTTTTTTTCAAACATTACTTTTAATATACACTTAATGTATATTTATATTTAAAATTTTATAATTTTTTACACGTTTTCAAATATAGATTCGCAACTATCGTATAATATTTTGACAGAATATCGATGTAGTTTATAAATAAAAATATTAAAAGTATAATATTCTTTCTTGTATTATATTATTTTCTTTCATCAAATATACCATATCGTATATTACAAGACATCGCATCGAAACAAACAACTCCGATGCAGAATTATATATTTATTTATTTCTGTCATAAAAAGAGCTATTGATATAATTTTGTATTTTTTTCGAGATTTTAAATATTATTAAATTTTTCAATTTAATGTGAGAATATTTTGAAAAAATTTCAAATTAAATTCTAATATTATGTATTACATCGCACATCGGGAGAAAATTTTTCTGCAACTCTGGAAATCCGACCATGTCGTCACAGAGTTGTATCTTGTATTTTTCTCATACTGGCCCGACTTCCATTTCGACTACCAACTTCGAGAGAAAAGTGTTGACTTCGCGGTTGTCGTCTAGATGTGTCGAAAATCGTAAACATTGCATGTAAGCCTTTCTTTCCCAATGGTAACACATGCTACGTGCAATGTATTTTGCGCAGAGTAAATATGAAGCAATCGATGATAACATGGAAACTCGAAAGTGCTCGTATTTTTCTACAATGACGTTACAGAAACATATTATTTAGAAAAATTTTATATACAAAAAGTTTGTGTGAGAAATTTCTGTTATTTTTCACCGATTCTTCTCCGACGCGAATAAAAGTATTCAGAGTCACAAATTTTACAAAAAAAAAAAAAACGAAAAATTCAGAAATTCAGATTCGAGGAATCGTTAAT